AAATCAAACATAAAAGTCATTAAATCAAAAATAAAAAAGGAGTTATGAGTATAGAGTGCATAGGTATTTAAAAATATTTAATAGGGGCTGGAGAGATGGCCCAGCAGCTGAGAGCACTGGCTGCTCTTCCAGTGGATGTCGGTCCGATCCCCAGCCTCCCCATGACAGCTTACAGTCCTTTGTAACTCCAGTTCCAGGGGGTTCAGCACCATTTTGCAGACTCACTGGGCACCAGGCAGGCAGGTGGCACACAGACACATGTACAAACAGAGCACCACACTTATGAAATAAAAGTAAACGTTTAAAAAATGCAACTAAATAAATTCTACCTTAAAATGTGTATATAGGGGCTGGAGAGATGAGTCAGCAGTTAAGGGCACTGGCTGCTCTTCCAGAGGACCTGGGTTCAATTCCCAGAACCCACACGGCCGCTCATAACTGTCCATGATTCCAGTTCCAGGGCTTCTGACCTCACACAGACAAACCTGAAGGCAAAACACCAATGCATTTAAAATAAAAGTAGACTATAATGGGCTGGAGAGATGGCTCAGAGGTTAAGAACACTGACTACTCTTCTAGAGGTCCTGAGTTCAATTGCCAGCAACCCACAAGGTGGCTCACAACCATCAGTAATGTGGTCTGGTGCCCTCTTCTGGCCTGAAGGTATACATGCAGGAAGAACCCTGTATATATAATTAATAAATAAGTCTTTTAAAAACAGTCGATTATAAAATAATTATATAAAATTGATTAAACTATTACAAATAGTGATTACATATTATATATATTACATAATCAATATATTTTATATAATTATAATTCCTAAAATCAATATTCTAATTGTAATTATAATTACATTGAGGGAAAACTGATGCCTGTTTTATATTGACAATGGTAGGTTTTCTTAAATATTAACCTTGTTTGATCATCGTACTAAATAAGATACTTAAAGCCTGTGCTTTCACCAAATGCTGTATATATATATTATATGTCCCTGTTGGGGAAAGCCTCCCTCGAGTCATAAAAATTGTGTTAGTACTTCTACTCGGGACATGCCTGCTAAACTACATAATAACCAGAGAACTTACATTGGTGGACAAGACTTAGATCTGTTTCTAAGCGTGACACATTATATACATTTCGCTGTGCCCATGACCCTTAGTTCTCTAGATGAATAAATAAGCCACTATCACTAACTAAAAATATTTCATATTAAGGCCCTAAAAAGTAAAGATCCACATTAATCTAAAAAGACTCCTTCCTGTTCATGGAGGAAGGTACCGCACTTTCTAAATCCTGTTAAATGTCAAAGGTATTTGAACTTTTACTGAATTATTTTTCAGTATAAAAATAATGCTGATCTTGATTCTGATAAGACTCAGATAAAGACAACATAAGATGCTTCTGTAACAATGTTTTTTTTACTCGGACTACCTGCCCCACTTAAGCCATTTTGGGGGTATGTATATTTAAACTATTCTAGACTAGAGTACCTATCTCCCTTATCTGTTATCTTTGCTTCTTTAAAACACACTACATTTTTATTATTTAAATATTAAATTTAGTTTGCTCAGGTCTAATGGAAAGATCCATCTACTGGCTTATAAAGGGGTTTCAACTTTGTTTTGTATGGGGAGAGGGCATGTTTATGTTTGCTCACAAAATAAAAATAAAACTCAATTGGTACAGTGTATAAAACAAAAAGATATTAATCCTGATGTTGCTGATGATAATCCAAAAAAGCCTGAGTTAAGACCAATTGAGCCTATGTTTCTGATCTACCTATTTACCATACTGCTGTTTGGAAAGGAAAGGAGATTGTGGTCACAGTCAACAATACACGACTTTTAGATCGACCTGCCACACAAGAGGCAGCTCAAAATTTTCTTATATTGGGTATGGTAAAAAACAAATTCCTTTATGTTTTGCAAAGAATATTGCTTTGGAGGAATGTCTTGGAGTGTTTCCAAAATTAATTATGGGACATGATAAACAATGTACTTATTTTACAAAGTTATTGCTTCCTCAAGGTAATTGGGTAAATGATATTTCACCCCTTCAAAGATTTCCTCCATGCACAAAGGAATCAGAGTCTAATAAAACTTTTTGTAGAGACAATACACTGGTATTATCCCATTAAAGTACAGCATCACATAGATATCATAGTATGTTCTTTACTGGTCTAAAAATCAAGAAGGTTATAGTGACTCATCCTTTGTCTACAGCATAATCTTGGGACCAAGGACTGCCAGCTGGAATTTGGTGATCCAATACAAAATTTCCACAGACTTATGTTTGGAAACTTGCTGCTGCCATAGGAAAAGTTGCAGGACAATCCATTCTTCAAAACCTGTTTGCCCCCTGAAAGAAACTGTTTTGGCTTGTATCAAAATGCCTTATGTTCTTTTGGTAGAAGAGATAGAGTTCTCTATAAATGGTATTGTGTTTAATGTATCAGGCCCTGATTGTAATTTGACTAATTGCATTTCTCAAGTAGATGATGATACCCGTGTATTGGTGTTAAAATAACATTCTTTTGTAATGTTACCAGTGCATGTAAATGATCCGTGGTTTAATGACAAAGGGTTACAAATAATTTTTTAAAAATTTTAAAAGCTTGAGGTAGACAAAAACATGCTGTTGGATTAGCTGGAGCAAGGATTTCAGCTCTTGTTATTATGCTTACTACTACTGCTAAAGTTGCTTCAGTGGCTTTGTCTCCGTCTATTCAAAATGCAGGGTTTGTTAATCAATTACCTAAGAATGTTATTCTATGATATTAGAGATACAAAAAGACAAAGATGTACAAACAAAACATAATTTAAATGCCATGCATGATGTGGTACAATCTTTAGGGGATAAGCTCCAAAGCTTAAAAACCAGAGTCCAGTTAAAATGTCACGCTAACCTAAATGGATTTGTTTACATCTTCTGCATATAATAAAAGTGTTATCCATTAAAAAAGAGTTAAAGCACATCTTAAGGGAATCTGGCATGATTCTAATGAGTCCTTAGATTTGGCTAAATTACATCAAAAAATACTAGATTTTAAAAAGGCTAAAATGGATTTTAATACATCAAAAGCAGTTGAGATATTTTGGAACAGTTTTAAAAGGCTGTCCCATCATGGTCAGCATTTATTTCACTTCTTAGTAGTATTGTAATTGTTGAAGCTTGTGTTCTTTTGGGCATAATTTGTTGATGACCTCTAAAACAACAGTAATTTACATTTCCAGAACTAATGCAACTTGTTTTCCTAAATTCTTACCACCCACTGAGTCAACCCCTAGTAAAAGACAGGAGAGAAAGTTGATGACCTGACATTCTTTACTCACTACCTTACCCCTGGTTACACCCAGCAGTCATCAATATCAGACTGGAGAGGAAAGTTTCCAATCTCCTTTCCACCCCATCATGAGCTCCATCATGACATAAACACAATGGTGGAACATGCCTGTAAGCCTAGCACACAGAAGGAGGTAGCAGGATATTCAGAACTTCAGAGTCAGCTTCAGTTACACAGAGAGATTTAAGTTAGGTTGGAGTACAAAAAAAGAAGAAAGGAAAAGGAAGAGGAGGAGGACGAAGAGGGAGGGGGAGGAGGAGGAGGAGCAGGAGAAGGAGGAGGAGGAGAAGGAGAAGAAGAGTAAGAGGAAGAGGAAGAGGAGGCATACCACTAGAGATGGAGAGATGGCTCAGGGGTTAAGAGTACTTGCTACTCTTGCAGAGGATAGCGCTGAAGACCAGCCTCGATGAAATTCATACATTCCAGGGTAGGAGTGTGAGGATTAGAATTATTAAGCAAAGGGAGCAGAGATATAAGAGAAATAAGAGATAGAAACACAAAACAGCATCGGGAAGAACAGTCAGTGAATACTGAATCTGCCTTGCTAATTTTCCACATACTTATATACTTCACTCCAAAAGGGGCAGAGAGAGAGAGGCAACAGACTTCATTAACATGATATAAAGAGCAGACTTGAGTTCTCTGACCTTTGGTCCAGGGGGAGCAGATCCACCTCGATATCCAAAACACTAACTAACCAAACCCTAAGTCAGAATCCCTTGTTTGTAGCCACATCTGTTGTCAACAACTCTGAAAGAACAAAAATAAGCTCAAACTGTGACCTCCAGTCAAGGTAGAACAGGCTCACATCTGCGGGCCCCCTCAATTCCTCCCCTCTGTGCTTTATTATTAAATAAAGGACCCCGGCTTTGGGGGTCCTTTTCTCATTTTCCAGACTTACCTGCCTTTTGTACATACATTTCATAATGTCCATTCTGTCTTAGATTTCCTGAGGGGAGAAAGATTTTACCGTCTCTGACTACCAACCTCTGTGAATAAAGGATTAAGAGAGAATGCATCTCTAGGCCCTGTGTACCTTGGAGCTAATTTTCTGTCAAGAGAGCTAATTATATGCAAACAGATAATATTTTGGGATACATATACTCCTATAGCTACAATATCTCCTAAGAAAGGAGTGGAGTGTGAACAGAGGTGGAACTGCCTTTTGTTAAATGGTCTAAGATCTCTTTAACAGTTTTCAGATACAATCTAAATCCAAATTTGTCTGATTAAAAGTATCAGACCTAAGGATTTATGATGTCAAAATTGTCTCAGACAAGCTCCAATCTTTTTCTAATCAGTAACATCTTCATAATGAACTAAAGCACTCACAAACATTAACAGATCAATACCATAATTTCAGCATAGAGATTAACAATAAATACAAAAAAATGTGATTTTTCAAATCACAATTCTCTTAAATCTATTCTTATCAAAAGACAAGAAAAGGTTTCTGTGATGGGTGAACTATGAGTCTTTTTCCTTTCCTATAGTCCAACTGCATTGCTGCTTCTAAGTTTTAAAGATAAGTTTGAACCGTCCCAGTCTCTGAGCAGCAATACATTGTGCCCCCTCCTCCTCATCTCTGAAGACAGGCTTCAGATGCTCTTGTAATGAGTCTTTTTTCCCCTAGAAGGAAAATTTTTCTGAGGTCTCAGTTCTCAGGCCCTTTATTTCAACAATAAATTGAACATCATACTGGCAAAAATTGAGTTCTGTGTCTCAAGATATAGTGTGGATAAACTGTCAAACATTCAGTCAGTGTTCTTGGGCCAGTTCCAAAGTAAACAGGACTCACTAAGGTCTGGAAGTTTGTGCAGTAGGTCCACCAAGAAATGGGAATCACCAACCATCACCACGATCTTCCTTCCCTTCTCAGACTGCAGCATTGATGTGGGAGTTCCCTCTGTGTGCTATCATTGCCATTGATGAATAAAGAGACTGCCTTGGCCTGTTGATAGGGCAGAACTTAGATAGGCGGGGAGGACAGAAGTGAATGCTGGGAGAAGGAAGGGTGGAACCAGAGAGACACCAGGGATCTGCCGAGACAGACCCTAGGAAGTTTACCTGGTAAGCCACTGCCATGTGGCGATACACAGATTAATAGATGTGGGTTAAATTGAGATGTAAGTAATCCAATGAGAAATTAAAGCTAATGGGCCAAGCAGTGATTTAATTAATACAGTTTCTATGTGGTTATTTTGATTCTTGGTGGCCAGGAACAAAAGAGTGGCTCCTCCTACAGATGTTAGCGGCCTTCCTCCTACAGATGTTACACAGTCAGGAACCTCACTCCAACTCTCCTGTGGGGGCATCAGTGGTTACCATGTCATCAGGCCTGGATCCTTCTGCTGTGCACATCAGACTAGACATTCTGAAAGTCATTGTGCTTCACCCTCCTTCTGTGGAAAAAAAAAAACAGACATGTCCTTGACCCCATATTAAGACAAGGTTATGTCCTTTCCATAATCAGTACTAAGGTCTTTCCACCTTGCTTTCATCCGAAGATGACCTTGGTGTTATCATGCCAAAATCTGCCCATGGCAGAGTGCTCACAGGCATCCATATTCAAGAAATTTAGATTAAAAGGGGTAGACTTAAGACATTATGTGGTGACTGGGGGTATATTTCCCCCACTTTTATCTTTTGAAGTTGTGATTTCAAGGAGCCATAGGCACGCTCCAAAATTCATTGTCCTTGAGGATTATAAGAAGTGCCAGTTTCGTGTTCAATATTCCATTGGGAACAAAATTGCTGAAATGCTTTACTAATATATCTGAACCTGTTGTCTCTCTTTATAATTTTAGAGGTTCCCATATATGAAAAGCACTTTAAGCATACCTAGTGGCTTGTCCAGTTTGTGTAGAGGCCATTAAGAAACCTGACTATGTATGGATTATCACATACACATATCTTAATTTGCTAAATTCTGCAATATGAGTAACATTCGTTTGCCATAAATGATTAGGAAGGAAGACTCAAGGATTTACTACCAAATAAGGTACAGGTAAATATTACAGTTTTATATCACATTGCTTAACAATCTGGCAAGCAATTTCTCTTGCTAATCTAAATTGCTTCCTTAAACTATTACTATTCTGATTATATAAAGCATGTGATCATTGAGCAAGCTCAACTGGAGAAAAAGCCATCAACTTTGTAAACTTATCGACTAAAACATTACCTTCAGCCAATAGACCAGGAAAATTTGAGAGTGCTCTGATATGAACCACAAAGCATGGCAATTTCCCTGATGAATGGCATCTTGACTGTGTTGGAACAGCATTTTAACTTGCTGATTAATAGTCCCTGTGCATGGAACAGTTTCCAATATCTGAAGAGCTTTAAAAATGTACTGACAGTCAGTATATAAATTAAATGCCTTATTTGCAAAAAGCTGAAATACTCTAGCAACAGCTCACAGCTCAACTATCTGAGCTGAGGCCAGTTCTGTTTGCACTACATGTCCCTTACCATCAATATACTGCTCTTGCCGGGCGTTGGTGGCACACGCCTTTAATCCCAGCACTTGGGAGGCAGAGGCAGGCGGATCTCTATGAGTTCGAGGCCAGCCTGGTCTACAAGAGCTAGTGCCAGGACAGGCTCCAAAGCTACAGAGAAACCCTGTCTCGAAAAACAAAACAAAACAAAACAAAACAAAACATATACTGCTCTTCCATGGGAAGAACCACAGCATCCTTTAAGGGATCTTTCACTACAACTTCAGGGAATATAATGGAATATAGTTGTATGAATTGCAGTAATCAATCATCTGGGAAAAGGTTATTAATCTGACCTTCAAACTGAGCAAACACAATTGCCCAAGATTCATTATTTTGAAATAATCTGTTTCTTACAAATCAATCTGTTGCTTAATATAAGGAACAATTAATCACAGTAGGTTCCCCTGCCAAAATATTACCAGCTGACTCTCACACCTGGACTATCCCATTTCTAATAATGTGTATAGCACCCCTAGGTGCGCTTACTGGGAAGATTCTAGCCTTCGTCCATCCTGGGTCGGAGCTTCATCGATCGCGTCTGCCCGGGAAGAGGGGAGCATGGCCTCTGAGCTCACTTCCTCTTTCTCCCAGCATTCTGTTCTGTTTACTCCTCCCACCTATGTTTTAAACTATCAGGGCCAAGCAGTTTCTTTATTGCTTAACCAGTGAAATCAACAGATTGATATATGACACTCCCACATCACCTAATCCTACCCTGGGAGGCCTTTTGCAAGGTATGATAGAATCAATTCTTCCTTCATTCTCCTTGTCCTTGATTGGGTAACAACATTTGCTGAAACATTTGATTAGCAACAGCTGTGTTGGGGGCACATAAATATACTCCCATTTGGGTCATTCTGTCACAGCCCCACAAATTTACAGGTAAATAAAAACAAGGCATAGCTGAAAAGTTCCTTCATGACCCTCTCCACCTTTTCCATCCAGGAAAGAGCATTACTACTTTGTTCAGGATTTTGAGTTTGACCAACCCCTTATAATTGTGTAATAGTCTCCATTTTAGGCCACCTAGAAGGCCATTGGCTGGGAGTTATAACAGAAATATCCACACCAGTATCCAGAAGACCAGAAAAACTTTTTTTGTTTATAAACAAAGTAAATTCTGGTTGCTATGAACCTATGGCTTATAAACAACAGGTATCAGTTGAATCAAATCCAGTCTTTCCTCTCTTATCTCCCTTAACTTGGTTTCTAGTTTGTACCACTGGTAGTAAAATTAATTGCGCAAGCCTCTGTCCTGTCTTTACTCCATTAGGAACTCCATTAGGAAACTCCATTAGGAACTCCACAGAAACTCCATTAGGAAAGTGAGTCTTAACCTTGATTTCTCCTTCAAAATGAGCATCAATTACTCCAGGAGCAACAAGGATTCTTTACATGGTGGTGCTACTTCTCCCCAGTAATAATCCTACAGTGCCTTCTGGTAAAGACCCATAAACTCCAGTGTGGAGACCCTGAATCCCCGTTTCAGGAGATAAAACTGTGTAGATGCAAGAGCTGAGATCAAGCCCTGCACTGCCTGGGGTTGCTCTGCAAAAGTCCTGATTTCCTTGTGAGGGAACAGGCTGCTGGATCAGACCTGAGGTGCGCCCTTCCTCTCATTTCCTGCCAGGGTATTCCCTTGATCATCTCTCTTTGATCTGCACTTGTTGGTCCAATGTTTTCCTCTCCTGCATCTCCAGCACATTTTGTTCTTTGCTTGCCCCTGGGCTCACTCTCCTATTGGGTCACTGCCTGATTTGATACCCCATTAGGCCACATCCGGAGCCTCCAGGAGGCCCTGTAACCCTCCTTATTGTATCTCTGTATATCAGCAGTTATAGCCAGTCCTGTGTATATGAGAGGCCAGTATCTGAACAGAACTGAACAGAACCGGAGATGTTAACTTTCTTTCTAAAAGACCTTAAAGCAGCTTTACATATAGCATTAGCGTTCTCAAAGGCTAGCTGTTTAACTATCAAAAGTCCTGCTTCTGCATCTCCAATCAACCTGCTTGCTGTCTGCATCAGCCTGGAAACAAAGTCCTGAAACAAGTCATCAGGTCCCTGACTTGTAGGCAATTCCTCAATCTGCTCTTTAGAAGATGGAAATTTATTCCCGGCATTTTTGGCAGCTGTGATGATTTGGGCATAGGCTGCTATATCAAAGTTTAACTGCTGATCTGTCCCTGGGTGCGGTTCCTCACCTAGAAGCATTTCATAAAAGATAGGAACCTGTTGAGCCCTATTTCTCTCAGTTGTGGTCTGACATTGTTCTGCCAACACAGTATCCCACAACAGATAACCCCCTTCCTGGCCAAGCAAGCTTTGGCCAACTGCTTCCCATCCCCTGGGGACAGAGCTTCCAGAGACGTATTTTCCCAGAGCATCTGGGTAAAGGGAGCCATGGGACCGTATTGCGCACAGGCAAAACTAAAAAGTTGTTTCTTTGAAAGAGCATTGATAATGTTGGCTAGATCGAGAAAAAAAGAAACCAGAAATAGAAAAAGGGGTCATGACAACTGAGATCACAGAAGCAGGAAGGGTCACGGGAGACAACAACAGACATGGACACTCTAACAAGTTACATAATCTAGGAGGAATAAAGATGTTTCTGCAAACAACACACAGAGGCTGGGTCATGAAGAAACAGAAAATCTAAACAGACTGTTAACGAGGTAAGGACAGTGAATCAAAAATTCGCAGTTGGTAGCACACACCTGTAATCCCAACAGCTGGGACAGCCGGGTGGTGGTGGCGCACGCCTTTAATCCCAGCACTTGAGAGGCAGAGGCAGGAGGATCTCTGTGAGTTCGAGGCCAGCCTAATGTACAGAGCGAGTTCCAGGACAGAGGAAACCCTGTCTTGAAAAAAAAAAAAAGCCAACAGCTGGGGGGAGGGGGTAAGCTATAAAGTAGACTAGATGAAAAGCATCTTAGGATCTGGTGCTCACCTGTGCATTCTGACAAATACTGAAGAACTAACTTCAAACTGTGAACGCGGTATTAATTGTTAACTCAGAAGACCACGAGTCACCTAGGAGACCAGCCTCCTGGGACACGTGTGAGTGATGATTACATATTTAGGCTAGCCCCTGGAAACCCCCCTGAAGGAGTAGCTTGACTAGATGAATTAAGCTGGAAAAACTCCCTAAAGGAGGGTGGCACCTGCCCTAAAGGAGGGTGGCACCATCCCCTGGACTTTGGATCCTAGGCTGCAAAAAAAGGAGACAGTCAACTGGGCACAAACTTTGTCCTTCCCTGCTTCCTAACCACGGACGTGTGGGCCAGAGACCGCAGGCTCCTGACACCAGGCTTTCCAGCCACTGAACTACAGCCCCTGTGAGCTAAATTGTACAGGTTTTTCTGGGATGAGACATGTAACTGATGCAACTGCCTGTTCACAATCAGGTGAATGAAACAAGGCCCTATGTCACACTTTACACAAAAGTCAAGTCAGAATAAATTAAGCATTTATGCACAAATCCAGAAGTTGCCAGAAGAACACATGAAGAAGATCTGTAGCACAGGTCTGGACAACTAAGGGCAGGGTGGAATGTGTAGTGACTATAAGCACGAACCAAAAAAGTAAAATAAAAAGCAAAAAATAGAATAGAACACTAATAGCACAGGCACCAAGAACAATTAACAAGTGGGCGCACATGAAACTGCAAAGCTTCTGTATGGCAAAGGACACCGTCTTTCAGACAAAGCCGCAGAATGGGAAAGACCTTTACCAAATACACATAAAATAATAAATAACAAAATTGGCTAATGCTAATATCCAAAATACATAAAGAACTCAAAAACGACATCAAGAAAACAAATATCCCAAGTAAAAAAATGGGGTACAGAACTAACCAGAGAGTTCTCAGAATATGAAACAGAAATGGCTAAGAAACAC